ATATATCTTTTTATGTTTAGTGCTCAATTCTCAACTCCGTTAAAGTTCGCCGGAGCTCGTAAATCTGGTGTGCTACAGATTTAGAGACGTTTGCCGTTGTATCTTTGGGGAAGTTACGCCTGAACCGTTAGCTGCCACACGGGGCGTATTCTTCTTGCGGAAAGAGTTTTTACTCGCCTCGGCTAAAATCTTTCCGTTTTTAAGTTGTATTTTATTTTTCTGTTCAATTGTAATTTTCTATTTTTAGATTATTTGTAAGAACTGAAAAATACATATCAGTTCGTAGGATTCCCGTGTAATTTTGACACCAAATATCCAACAACCACAACTACAAGAGACCATGAACAAAAGTCATAAACAATTAGAAGGCATATAGCTTCCCCTTCAGATATCATATTGCATTAGCTACATATAAATAATTTGAATGCTAAAAATTAATGATTGGCAGGTGTCTGTTACATTTCAATTTAGAAGGTGGCGAAAGAAAATCCAACCTTTTTCGATCATTGTCTCTCACAAACTTCACACCTCCATTACATAAATTGCAAACACCTACACAAAATGCACAAAATACGAAATAAGTATATGTATTTGCCAAATTTTGACTTGCTTCACAATTATCAACAACCAAGCAGTAGGCCTTCAGATAGGTCGGCCTAACCATTAGACTAGCATACATTTTTCACAAATACACATACTTCCATTATAAAATGTCATACTTTAAATAACAACATAAACAAAATTGTGTCATTTGATAGCATACGTATACATTTTTGTTCACTCACGGGTCGACCCTCCTAACCGTTAGGCTTACGCACACGAACTTGAGGCAACTAAATGACATGAGTCCACTCTCTGTTCAAAACAAAATCTCAGCTTTGAAAGGATAAGCCCATCAACGATAGAACTTGACAAGTAACTTGTATTGCTCTAATTACCTAACAAAGCAAGATATCAACCTTTCATCTACTTACAGAAATAATTAGGCTCAACAACAAGAAAACGTCATAATCCTTTTGGAAATCAAATCCACAAACTGAAACGAAACATTCCCTTTTGCAATTATTGGTTAAAAAAATGCTAAAAAGGTAAACTTTATACCGTCGAACAGCATGATAGGGCGAGAATCCTGCTCGAAAAAGCTCGCGGTTTCCTTCACCCAGTCAGCCGCCGCCGCTTTATCCTCCCGAGGGGGCGATGATAGAGTTGCGGAGACAGTAATCCGCCGGCGGCGGTGGCTATAGTGAGCCGGTATCGGCACCGCCGGGCGCGTTAACTCTACAGGAGGTGCGACGAACGCCATTTTTTCAGTATTAGAATCGCGGCAGTATAACGTATTTGCGGACTGGAAAAAATCAGTAGAAGACTAGGGTTGATGGCCTATATTACCCTTGTTCTAATTTCTAATATCAAATGTATTGGCCATGTGGGTCTCGGGGGTAAAAGGGGAACTTTGAGTTTATGAAGTAACCTTGTAACAACGCGTGGCGTTGTTTGCAACACATATGCTTGTAGTTCGGATTCTAAGAACTAGTACGTAGCCCGTGCGATGTACGGGACAGAAGTATTAAATGAGTCATTTTCACAAAGTTTGTCCTTTAAGTAGTTCGTGCGATTCATGGGAGATATTAAATGAGTAGACCATCGGGCTTGTCCGTTCAGGCCTAAAAAATGATAGAGTTTTTTTACCTCTTTTCATCAACTCATTTTTTTTAGGACATTAAGCCTGAGCCTGGTAGCGCTAGCTCATAAATTAATTAATATATTGTCTAGTTAACATGGTTATAATAATATAAATTTGATTTCATTATATATATATATATATATATATATTCCTTGATATAAGAAAAATAACAATTTACGTAATCTTGTTTTTCGTATAATACTCATATTGTTTTATTGTAAAATTTATTGTAATATAATGTCATTATTATTATTTACACATGTTATAGATGTAGTCTTCTTCTTCTTTTTGTTTTATGTAATTAAATTTATTAATGTAATTAATATAAATTATGTAAATAAATTTAAAGCAAAACATTTTGTACAAACATTTTACAGAATATATACAAATGTTTTTTTAGAATTTTTTTTTATATAATAAATAAACATCTTTGAAATTCTATGCATTTATTAAAATCCTTGACATAAATTAGAAATCATACTTGAATTCTATGCAATTATTAATTTCGTCCGATGTTATGGGAAACAAATCATCAAGAATTGTAACAAAATGATAAGAAATTTTAAAATTTAAATTTTAAATGAGGCATGTTTTTACTTGAATTCTATGCAATTATTATTTTGTCCGATTTTATGACAAACAATCATTCAAGATTTTAATGTAATAAAATGATAAGAAATTTTAATATTTAAATTTAAGTTTGAAATGAGACATGTTTTACTTGAAGTCTATTTGTCTGATTTTATTGCAAAACACTTTAATTAAGGATGAAATTAATGCAAACCGATTTTTTAGCTATAAAATAATATTGCAATTGAAAAAATGATAAAAATAGAATGCATTAATTATCTTTTGACTTTTCTTGTTACTAAATTTAGTAAATAGGATGGCTTTTAATATATATATAGATGTTTGTCGAAGAGTCGTGTAAATCATTCGTTTTGCATAATAAAACTGTAAGCAAAATTATTTTTACTTTTTTTTTTAGAAATATCAAATATATATTTTCGTGTATATATAATGTACATTTTTTATGTTTTGAAAACATAAATTTTTTTTATTGATTGTTTTTTCGTATATGTTTAGGGAAATCGCATTACGCCATTGGCTATAGGAAATCAATTTGGTTGTGTTTAGAGATAAGAATTTTGAGGAGGGCATGGTCATTTGCATAAAAATTTATCAAGTGGACAGCAATATAGAGAAGTATCGTTCGACATCCGGTGATTTTAATATCATGTTGCATGAGAGAACTATGTTTTCAAAGTGCAACTAATAAAAGGGAGTTGAATATATTAGTTTATGAGAATGACGAGTTCTCAATAATTAAACTCGTAATGTTCTGTACAATGAGGTCTTTAATAACATATGATTATTTTTTTGTCGAATATTATTTTATTATACAATTTCATGAGTATTATAAAACTTTTATTGAATATTACATCTTATAATATAACATTCTCCAAATAAATATATCCCATGCCTCGTACAGTTCACATATTACATATATCCCGTACATTTTTCTTTATTCATATATATAATTATAAGGTTGGATAAATACCTTTAATTTGTGCATTGCACGAGCTCTGTACTAGTTAGAATGATAAAGTATGTTGATGTTCTTATAAGTAATTTTACATGTTTTACCAAATACTTTTTAACAAATCGCTAACACGATCAGCTGGTCAAAACAGCTAACCCAAAACAGCTAATGTAATCCGCTCACGATTGTATGAAAAAAATAGCATAACATAACATTAAATGAAAATAAGTAATAAAAATAGTTTTAAAATATAACGCCACGTAGGCGTTGAATATCCATCCGTGTGAGTCATAGTCCCAAGGGCTGGCCAATCACAGCCCGTTCTTGTTGCTGTCAATAGACCAGTTTTTCTTTGTTCCTTTTTCTTCATCCTCTTCTGTTTTTTGAAAGCTTTTGAATCAACTTCGCAAGATTTAACCTTTCCAAGTTGAGAAATCCGAGGAAGCAAGAGATGGGTTGGATCGATGAGACAGTCGCTTCTGTAAAATCAATTCAATTACGGCAAGCCCTTCATCAGACAGTCACTCTTGGTCGCTCTCTCTCTCTCTCTCTCTCTCTCTCTCTCTCTCTCTCTCTCTCTCTCTCTCTTCATGCGTACATATAAATTCTTTGCGGCCCTCTTAGTTTCATAGTTATTTGCTAATTTGTAGAGTGTTTTTAGTTACGATTTTGGTTGGTTGATGTTTCCCTTTTATTTCTGGAGAAAAAAAAGTGTGTTTTTGGGTGAATATGAATGCTAAAACAGCCGGCTCTCTTTGATGCTCATTGTTAATTGCTGCTGCGTTTGGATGATTTTGTCATGCTCTGGCCCAAGAGTTTAGGGATTTAGAGGCCATAAGCTTATTGTGTTGGTCTGTAACCACAACTACTCGGAATGTTGATTTGAAAGGTTTGGTCTTTTTTGTTTTCAGTTAGATTGAAAACCATGAGTCTCTATTTATCTTTACCTATTGTGGTTTCATGGTTCAAAAAAAATAATGAAGTAGTTTGGACTTGTGGAAATTGAGATGTAATGTGTTTAAATGCTTGTTGTTCGGACTCGAAAATGTTGGTGGTGGTGGTTCCGGATTAAACTACTTCAACATATTTGTGCTTTCTGTGTTGTTGCTAGTGAGACTGTGAATATATAAGTCTTCCCTTGTCAATTAGGAACGGATCAAAAATCCAGTGACGTGGGTACTTCACTTCGGTTCATGTTTAAAATTGTCTTGATTTTGAGGATCATCCTATAGACAACTTTATTACAATCACATCTCTAATGGACCCAATTGTTGGTTTTCATGTTATTGCATGATTCAAAACCTGAATTTTTCTTGTCTTGAGTTTACTAAAGCTCGATTCTTCGCAATTAGGCATGTTGCAAATAATTCGGAGCAGGACTTTTACAGTTTATATACACATTGTGGGACTTAGGAAGGGTACCCACAATGTATATATATGTATATTTTGGTAGTTTGGAGCTGTGATTTGTAAGCCCCTTATAAAAAATGCTGATTCCTTTTTCTTTTATGTCCTTTTTATTTCCTGAACTTAAGGTATGGTCGTTTCATCTGCACTGATTATATGGAAAACGTTGGTATGCATTACTGGAAGCGAGTCACCGGTTGTTGTTGTTCTTTCTGAAAGCATGGAGCCTGGATTTGCTAGGGTATGGCTGCGTATATTTATATATTTCTTTAAATAAAGAACTTAACCTTTAATCCCAACACTTTATTTGGATTTTGAAATCGAAATGCAAGAGCTCTTAAGAATCTACGATTTCTATGTTTTACCGCTTTCCCAGTCATGAAAGTACTAACAAGATTCATTTACAGGGAGATATTCTGTTCTTGCATATGCCTCGAGACCCCATCCGAGCAGGCGACATTGTTGTGTATAACATTGATGTAAGAATTTGTTCCATCTTTTTTGTTCATTTTCTTCTCTTCTTAATCTGTTTTTGGTTTTCCTCGTTTTCAATTCACGTATCGTTTTCAATTCACGTACTTCCTCTCCTTTTTTTTTTGTTTGTACTACTTTCAGAATCGTGAAATTCCAATCGTTCATCGAGTGATTAAGGTAAACATCATTTTTATGTGATTTTTCAGTCTTACAAATTGATTATAAAGGCATGTATACATGTGAAGCATAATTTTTTTAATTTTCAATTTTGAATAGGTTCACGAAAGGCAAGATACGGGAGAAGTTGATATCCTCACGAAAGGTGCAAATCATTTGCTAAATAGACCTCCTCCAAGCACTGCTATGCCATTGATGATGGAAAATGAATTTTCGAACTCGGAAGCCATTTTGATTAATGTTCTCAGTGCAAACTGTTTGTTTCTAAATTATTGTTTTTT